TTGTTCCTAGTAGCTTCTTGTTACTACTAGTAAGGCACCTGTTACTACTAGCGTGGCACTTGTTCCTAGTAGCTTCTTGTTACTACTAGCGTCCTTGTTACTACTAAGGCACTTGTTACTAGTAGCGATGCCCTTTGCTCCGTTCGTAGCTTCTTCAGCAGTTGTAGCCATGATGAAGTGGTCTGGGTTGACCCACAGGCCATCGCGGCTTCTTTGCCCTTGTCGCTGGAGCGACTGACGCTAGGCGACTCTGCGTTCGGTTGGCATGTCCAGTGATCGATGGCGGATTGGTGTTTTGGCCGGTTCCAAGTGCATCGCTACTAGTAACAAGTGCCACGCTAGTAGTAACAAGTGCCTTACTAGTAGTAACAAGAAGCTACTAGTAACAATGATCAGTTTCATCTTTCACTGTCCTCTTTCACTGCTGGGTTGGCTTTTTGTTGGACCACGGAGCTTCTAGCCACAGTTGCCAATCGCGTCCCTCTAAATCCCGCAGGTAAAGTAAAAGGTCAAACAAAGATTGTTCAGCATCCATGTTTTGTTTTGCCCAAAGGGCAGTGTCATGGGTTTGGCATCTTGGAAGCGGCCCCCACACCTGACAGTTGTGCAGATGCGGCCGATGATTCTGACACGTTCTGCATGGCCAATGGGATTTCAAGATCTTTCAATCCATGGTCAGAACACATGACCAAGGAAGACTTTCATCAGTCTTCCTTAACCACTGTGGGGCTCTTAAAGTCTTAAAGCCCACAGCCAGCCATCCCCCACCCAAAAGATAGCCATCCTCGACATCCTCACTGGTCAGGCCTGGCGGGCTGGGTCAACTTGACCGACCACGGCCTCACGGCGCTGGCGCAGCGCCTGCCGCAGCTGTGCCGCGGCGTGTGGCGAAGTCGGGGTGACCAGGGTTGCGTGGCCGTTGGTCGGGCGGCGTTGCTTTTTGCGTTGAACTGTCACGAACCACGAAAAACCGTTGTACCATGCAAATGTGGCAATGGACACCATCTTGGTGGCCAGTCAGCCACTTCTACTTCGTAGAGCTCGAAGTTGTTGGGGTTCATCATTTCATCCACTTTGTGAAGCAGCTTTACGGCTTCGGATTGAGGGGATGCTCAATCCGGATGCATGCAGGTTTCCTCCGATTCCTCGGATGCCCAGCGAATTGGTTTGTGAGATAGCGAAGTGGTCCTTTTGGCTTGGAGCGTCCTTGCTACTAGTAGCGATGCCCTTGGCCTCCAACCTAATATGGACGTGCTGACATGGTTTTCTTCGTGTCCAAGGACCTTCTTTCCAACGTGGAAAAGCAGACGAACAAAAGACGAACAAAGGACATTCTCGCAGCTTCGAGTCGAGTGCAGCTCGCGGCTCAAAAGAGATGTCAAGGCTGCGAAGAGATGTCAAATGCCACCGAACAGCTCATTTCCTGCCACTTGCCACCGTCCCGCCTTTCACCCAACGACATATACGGATATACGTGCACAAACACACAAAGGAGGCAGCTAGGCATAGAGGATCGAAGAGTTCAAACAGATCCGGAACGCTTCGCCTGACTTGCCACTGATGTTCCGAGTTGCATCTTATAACATGCAAAGTGCTTGGCGCAGCCGATGCCTGTGAAGCTGGTCCCGCGACAAGAACTGGAGAAAAGCCTCCCTGGGCCCGTGAACGCCTTGGGCTTTGGGCGCGCGGCGGACTCGCCGAGCCGAGCAGAGACACGGCGTCGGACCCCCGTGAGCCATGCCAGCACCGATGAGGACTCGGAGACTTC